ATGTTTACCCCGGCTGTGGCTTCGCGTTGCGCAGATCGACGAATGCTGCAAAAACAGAATGCGAGCGGCCGACGACGTTAGTCACCGCCATCGCGAGCGTTTCGAAGCGCACCTTGCGATCTCTCTCTCTCTCTCTCTCTCTCTCTCTCTATTTCTTTCTCCCTTTGCCGGTGAATTTCGCTTTACGCAACCGCCGCGCGCCGGCGTGATTAGCATCTGCCGTGCGCTTTAACTTATTCCGCGGATAATTAATTTAATTCGCGTCAGCGACGTCGACGCTTTCACGACGAGGGCGCGCCAAAACGCGCGCGAGGGCGGGGGCGAGGGGGGGGCGGTTTGCGAAATTATAAGTAGAAATTATAGAACGAGAGAGGGGGGAGGGCGGTCGTCGCCTACCGCCTCGGCGGTATCTCTCGTGACTGAGAAAACGTTGCCTAACGAGAGGTTCCTCGAATTATGAGATATCTGAATGCAATAATGAGAATTATGAGACATTATTTCTTTGCAGCCTCGCGGTGTATTTTTAGGCGTGCCGTAATCGGCCGCGCGAGCTTTCCTACGTGGCGATCGCGGGGTTTGTTAGCAGATGTTGCACGAAAAAGTGACACATGCACACGCACGCACGCACACGCACGCACGCAGGTCTGTAGGTCGGGTATACACGACAGCAATAATAGACGTGACGCATGAAAAACTTGCAGCCACGTCAGCCGCCGGCTTAGCCTATATATCGATTGGACGGTTCACGCCGGGTCGTTTTTGACAAACTCGCACCCAGCCGCTCGACCAATCGAACATTCCGGATATTATTTTTTCTTTTTCTTGCCGCCGAGAACTCGCGAGCGGCGAGGAGCTGGCGAGGAGCGAGTGACGTCGTCGCGCGCGCGTCGCCTCTCATTCGTTATTTTTATAATATTGCAACAATCACCGTTTCTTATAACGAGGAGAGACGGAAGGGAGGGGGGGGGGAGAAACGCCTGATTTACATAATAAGAGGGAAATGAAGTCGAGCGCCGCGCGAGGACGCAGAAATGAAAATGGCGAGGATAAATATATAGATGAAAAAGTGGAATAAATCAGTATAGAATTAATTATTCATGCGTCGTCGTGTCGAGAGTCAGCGAGCGAGTTCTTGAAGGTTGAGGGCGTCCCATTGAAGAAGTCGAGGGATACTTTCCGCTCAGAACGCACAGTCTGTGAATGCGACTAAAATTAGCGTACGACGCGTCCCGTGTTTCTCAACGTGGAAAAGTGAGCGCGTAGAAAATTTCCCGCTGGAGTTCCATCTCGGCTCCCGAAGGAGGAAACAATAAATTAGCTCGCGATTGGATAATCGACTGGAAAAACGTAACTTTTTGAGAACGTAACGCGGCTGCGAACCTCGGAACGGATTTTCATTTCTTTCTGCTTCCTATTCCATCGAGTGCGATGTGGCTGAGTGTGAAAATGAGATTCCCCGTTAAAGGTACATCGATGTCACCGAGCGAAAAAGCAATTTCCTCGGTGTTCCCGTTTTTATTCTAGACGGAGTTTTGTCCAAACCTTCTCTTTCGCATCCTTGTGGTCACGATCGGATAACAAAATTTCAGGCTTGAGTATCTTGACCGGGATTGGGGATGGGGGAGGAGGGGGGAGGGCGATCTCGATTCGAGAAAATCGATCAGTTCTTCCGAAAAGCGAATTTCCACGTCGATTCTTTCAAAGTTGAAGAATTCTTCGTCGAACGAAGCAACATCTACGATTAAGCACGATTCTCTAGCGCGGAGAATCGCTTTGTCGGAAAATCGAGCGGGAGAGTACCGATTTCCCAAAGATCGGATCGAGACAGCTCGACCATCGGAATCTATCCGGGAAAATCCCGGAAGACTTCTGTTTCTCTCGGGAGCAGAAGATGTCGAGATTCCGGCTCGCCGGGCGATCCGTGCGAAATAACCATCGAGTCCTGCCGACTTCCTTGCGGGCTTGAGCGAATGCGACGAAATCGCGCGTTTCCGCCGTCCTCGGCCGGCGCGACGGCGTCGTTCACCCCGCCGCTATTATCGGAATCGCCGAGACAATTCGCGCTAGTATCGCGCCGAAGGCTAAGTGGAGTGGCCAGCCGGCCACGTCGCGAGGGAACGTTCACCGGTCTAGGGATGCAACGATTTCTCAAAATATCGATAACGATATTATCGTCATTCAGAACCATCGATAACGATAATGTCGACAATTTAGAAAAATATCGATATTTACGACAAAAAAATATATACAATAGGGGTATGCATATAAAGGGTATATGCACGAGAAATTTGAAAAGATTAAAAAAAAATGTTTATCTTCATATAATTTATTGTCGTATTCTTATTAGAAAATATATAATGAACCGCAGTCGTTTGCCGGAGATCACCACATACATGGAGCGTAATTAACCAAACCATACCATACCAAACCAAACCAAACCAAACCTAGGTTAGGTTAGATTAGGTTAGGTTATATATCACGTAATATATTACGATTCAACGATCGAGGTGGAAATGATAAAAGTGAGCGAATTTACTAGACACCGCGCAATTACATAATATATATTCTAGTGAATTCACTCACTCTGATAATTCTCATCTCGGTCGTAGAACCGTAATAGGTCCCCAGAGCTGTGACTGAAAGCTACGAAGATCAGTAAGATTCATATCGATATGTCGATTTTATCGGAGACAAAAAAATATCGGTAAATATTCGATATTTTGATATTATCGATTTATCGTTGCATCCCTGCACCGGTCGCGCCGCTCGTTATTGGGCCGGCCGATCTCCGGCCTTTTTGCGCGACGAAACGCCGGCCGGCCGGCCGAGGCGCGCGCGGCGCCGGCGCAGCCGGCTTCCCGCATAGAGAAGAGCGACGCGGGCGCGTTGATTAATGCAGCGTGTGTGATTAAAACCCGCCGTGAAAACCGTAGCCGGAGCGGCTGAAACGCCGACCTGGCCGACCTGGATTTCGGCCGGACGCTCGGCCGAATAAAGGGCCGACGGGTCCCCGCGCGCGCGCGCGCGCTTTTCGGGATTTCGCCTGTTGAAACTTCGCCGGACAAGCGGCGGGGCCGGCCGCGAACTGTTCGGAATTTCGATGGCGGAACTTTTCAGACGCGACTAATCGCGCGACTGGCCGCGCGGGGATCACAGAGACGGTTCTTCACCCCCGCGCCCTTTCATCCCACGAGCGATCCTGCAAATGGTGTCTCTCTCTCTTTTTTGCAATAAACTTTTTTCAAGCGACGAAATATTCCTCAACGGCTCTGTCTCTCGGTATTACAAAAAGAGAAGATAGAGGGATTTATTGTTGGAATAGTTACTTAACAAAAATTACGGAGAAAGGAATTTGTTTTTAAAATAAATGTTCCCTGAAAGTAATCAATTTAAAAGTAAATCCTTCTTTTGAAGTTTTTCTGTAGTACCGTAATTTTTTGTAATTTTGCGACAAACACTTTTTCACAAACGATAAAATATTGGCGCAAAGATGCGTTTCGATAGCCGGAAGTGTGCCGATCTTATTTTTTCTTTTCACGTTACTTTACATTATTGTCTTTCATTTCGCATCATCGTTTCTTATTTAATAGTTTTTTGTTTAGTTTGTTAATTTCTTATTTATCTTTGTCGATTTCTTTCCTCGTTTCTTTTCTTATTTCTTTACTTATTTTTTTATTTAGCTTCTTAGTTTATTCCTCATTTAATTGTTTCACTGAATTTTTCATGATCTCACATTGCGTCAAATTTGGTCTTTATCCGAAGAATAGTTTAGTCAACAAATTATATAACCGAGTATAATCGCAAGTAGTCAAACATTGCCTGATTCGTTCGTACCTCCGACTTCAGTTATCCCGATAAGGATTATTTTTCCCTCGCGAAACGACCTATCGTACGGCCGCGGGGAACTTCGTCCCAACCTAACCTAACAAGTCACTTCGATCCATTCACTCGCAGCCTAGCACATTAATGCGCGACTTCAAGACGCGCTCGGAAGTTTGCTCGAAGACCGCTCTCGGAAATCAGACTTTTCCTTTCGCGATTGCGCAACGTCACTCGACTCCGACGCAACCTCGAGGAAGCGACAGCTGTCTCTCCCTCTCCGGAAGGGGAATACCTCGCGAAATATCCTTCTCAACGGTTGCTGTTTGCACGCTAAAAAGATCGCACAAAAACGAGACGCGTCAAACAGGCCGCCCGTTCTTTCTCAGGCGCGATAAAACATGGCGGCGCGCGCGCGCGCGCGCCGCTTTATCTCGCCGCGGCGTGAAAATTCGATGATTCCCGCCGGTCGAACTTCCGGGTTAGCCGCGACGCTAATCTCACGTCCGTGCTCACGCCGATTAATAACCCTCGCATTCGGCGGGCCCGGCGAGAGCGAGAGGCAGAGGGAGAGAGACAGGGAGAGAGAGAGAGAGAGAGAGAGAGAGAGGCGAGCGCGAGCGGTCGAACGTGCTCGAAGTTGGAAACAACGGACGAGGTGAGTCGAGAGTGGCCCGTTATCTTTAACCCGAGAATTTTTCATAAAGTCGACCTACATAAACCGCCGCTCCGCCGTGTGTCGTGTCGTGTCGTGTCGCCGGCATCGATCTGCCGCTGATAACGCCGGCAGCGTGTACACAGCCGCATGGAAAATGTACGCTCGTTTGTCAGGCAGACCGAGAAATCGCCGCTGTCCGCTCGTCGTCGTCGAGGCGAGGAATATCCCCGCGCTCGCTTCTTTTCGCCCGAGGCCGCGCCGGATGGCGATTTTTTCTCCGCCGACTTTTTCCCGCGCGCGGTCGTTCACGGCGGCGCGGCGCGGCGAGGACTAAAAATTCAAAAGTCGAGCGTGACCCGCAGCTGCTGTCCGCTCGAACGCGTGCGTGCGACGAAAGAAGCGAGCAAGGGGGTAGGAGGAGGAGAGGGCGAGGGGAGAAAGGGGGAAAAAATGTACAAAGCATTCCGGAGAGTTGTCTCGGCCGAGCTGTGTGTGATCGGACGGTATTTTTCTCGGCTTTCAGGAACGCAAGGTAATACGATTCCGGAAGTCGCCGCCGGGCGAGGTTTCACCGGATGGCGGCGAATTGCGCGCGCTGCGGGAGCTGGGCTTCGCCAGGAGCGTGGTTTCCCGTTTCTTCGGGCCTTACGTGCACATACCCGAAATCGTCCGCTACGACGCGACCGACATCGCGAGATTGTCGGACGCCATTCGCCATCGCAGGCCAGGTAAGCTTTCCCACGGGGCTGAACGCCGCAATCGCGAAATTGCGCGCCTCGCGCGTGCGTTATCGGCTCTTGGCATCGCGCCTCGGTAATCGTCCGTGCGAAGTATCGCGGACGAAGGTCGGATGTTGCTGCGCAGACAAATTTCCAGCGTGCTCCGCGGGGATTCGATCGGAGCCGAGTCGTTGTTGGGTGAAACTCGCTCGAGAGGAAGAGGCAGAGCGACGGCCGAAGTCGTCGCTCGCTCTCGCGGGGTGAATATTTTCCCTCGAAAATGGAGTGTATTTCATTTTCGAAATTTTCCCTCGCGTTGCTCGCGAGCGTCCGTCTTTAGTTTGAATGAAAAAATGTCGCCGTGTCGCCGTGCGGTGCCGTGCAGGAAAGTGCTCTCTCTCTCTCTCTCTCTCTCTCTCTCTCTCTCTCTCTCTCTCTCTCTCTCTCTCTCTCTCTCTCTCTCTCTCTGTGTCTCTAAATTAAATTGTTGCAAAATTTATTTTCTTCTTTTTTATGTCTATAATACGCCAAAAGCCATTTAATTACACAAAAATTTAATAAGGTCTCAGGTAAGTTAATTCAATAATAAATTAATTAATTCAGGAGAGAAAATAAATTAATTCAAGATACAAAAGGGTTGAGCGTGCATTCTTGCGCGATAAGAGCGTTCTCTAAATTTTCTCTCGACAAGTGTCGAATATCCTCGAAATTCCTTGAATTTCCAGACAATATTTTTTTATATTTCCTGCGTAAAACCTGGAAAAAAATCCCCGTAAAATTTCCACTTACAGAGTGAATCTCTTGATTGGAACTTTCGACCAGCTGATACTGACGAGGACCTAATAGGGTGAAAACTAATCTTAATTAAGTCAGACTTTATAATGTCCTGATGACAATTGAGCGAGGAAGACCCCTTTGTAAGGTTGTAACGATTAGATCCATATTAGGATCTCAATTTAACAACGCAGTATATCGTATAATAAGGTTTAGTTGATCGAATCCTTGTCGAGATTCTTATTCATTGACTTGCGCTATCATATACAGGTTAGGTTAGGTTGGGAAAATTGTGAAGATTAATCAGATCGAACTTAATAACTATTGCGATTCTTCTTGCAAAATGTTACGTAACTTTTCTTCTCAGTCTCTGATCTGGTTAATCTTCACAATTTTTCGTTTCCAAATCCCGATCCCGGCCACCCTGTATATATATAATCTAACAAATTACAGCTAATTATTCTTTTCCCTTGGCAGCCGATAAAAATAGTCGTAAAATTAACGTGACGTTGGATTTGTTTTAAACTATTCTGCTGTTTGGAAACTAACCATTACAATATTTCGTTAAAAATCTAAAAGCAATCATAAAATCGTACACACACCCACACACACACACACACACACATATACGCATACACTAGTTCGCTTTATATTAGGTTTAGTGGTCAATTCTTTCCGATTTTCAACAGTTTCTTTTTATGTTGATTTGACGACGTCGTATGAGCCAAGTATTTCTGGCTGGGCAGAAGTCTTAACCTGAAATAAAACGTGAGAAGGATCCAATAAGGTAACTTAATAAGGGCCTGACTGTGAATCCTTGATAAGATCCTGATGTCCACGCTGCGTTATACGACTTATATTACTAGGATCTAATATTACTTTATCCGAACCTGATGACCAAGTGAAGTCGACCTGATCAGGACCATGGGATAAATATCTAATCGGGCTGACGGCCGAGTCTCAAAATCGAGCGAGACTCTTCAAGCGGACTTTCACCCCGAGTTGCCCAGCGGATATTTTCATCCGGAATCGAGGAGGAAATCTAAGGCGTTCCAGCGCCACCGGAACCGCTTCTCTCCTTTTTAGTCGACTGCAACGTTCGCTCGCACAGATGAAGAATCCCTCTGCGAGCGTTCGTTGAATGTCCACTTTGGGAGGGGGGGGCGATCCTTCGAAGACGAAGATGTCGAGACAAATTCGCTCCAATCGACTGCAACATCCGTCCGCATTGCTTGGATATTGATCCCGAGTTCGAATCGCAAGCGAGCGCTCTCTAAGATTTAGAAGAGAAATTTAGAGAACCGTGTGAGTCCAGGAAATGTCCAGGTCTCCCTCGACGTTTGTCGAGTGAAAATTTAGAGTCCAAATCTCGTCCTCGAAATTTCGACTCGTTTCTCCGAGTAAGATTTCGAGGCTCTCCTCGTCGCGCGAGAGCACAGAAACAGTGGAGCGGTCGAGAAATTCGAAGCGGCGCTGCGACAGCTTCGTCGCTCCCGCTGCCGGCTGCGAGAGACGATCCGAAAGAAAAATCCGCAGCCGATGATCGCGCAGCAGCGCGATATCCTCCTCGCGGCGCATCACTTTCTCCGGCAGAATGTAGGCTTTTAATATTTATGTACAATCGCGCTCGCGATACGCCGACCGACGCCAGGTGCTCCTCCGTGCGCGCGCGGCTAGTCCTCGTGCGCCGTCTCTTCCTCTCGTTTTTTATTACCGCTGCCAGTTAGCCGCTGACTTATTCAGTCCGTATTCGCGGCGCGCGCGTACACCTGCCGCCTTATTTTTGCGACGCGCAAATAACGCGTCTTTGTGCGCGCATCCGAAAGATCTCTCTTTTTCTCTCTGCCCCTTCCTCGCTCCCTCTCTCGCTCTTTCCTCTCTCGTCGTTTTCCTCGCGGCAACGAGGAACGTGCCGTTTCTTCTTGCACGCGCACGCGAGTTTCAGCCCCGAGCTGAAATTTCATCGATTTCGCAGTAACATTGTGGACGAAACGAGAGGCGATCCGGTTGCACTTCGCATCCGCGCTCGTTTCCTTCCTTTTCCCCCGTATCGTCCGATGCGATCGATGGCGAGGGATCCGACCACCGCGGCAGGAGTAGAGCAGGAGGCGACGTCGTCGTGGTCGACGCTGAAGCCGACAAGGCGGCTCGAATGAACTTTCGCATCGAATCCGAAACCGGTCGTTTTCGCGTATTAGCGGCGATTGGGAACGCGCGCGCGCGCGACGTCGCATGGTGCAGCACGCGGCCGTTTTCACCGATGTAAAATCCGCGCGAAACCGCGCCATTAGGCGAATCGACGCCGGTCGACTAATGACGAACCAACCGGCCGTATCGGGCCGTAGCGGGCGAAGCGCGCGGCCACTTTTACGCCGCTGCTTTTATGCTCGGCGGATTACCGGCTCGTGCGTCTCGCTACCCTCGCGATCGAGACGACGAATTGTCTCCGATTGAAGCCTCTCCCCCCCCCCTCCTCTTCCCGCTCTCCGCTCTTCGTTCCTCGCGTGCCGCGCGGAGCGTTTAATAATAATCGCTGCCGTCGGCGGCGGTGCAGTAAGAGTACGTCGCCGGCGTGTGTTCAATCGCGTGAAATCGCGGAAAATTAAACATCAATCTCATCCGTTAGCGATCGCAACGGCGCGACGATAATTACATTGACATTTTATCCCCGGCGCGATAACAACTTTCTACTCGAGCGGAGCGGCGCGCGGTCCGCTCGTCAAAATGGATCCGCGCGCGAAGCGATCTCTCGCTGGGTGTGGGCGACAGGTAAACCGTTCGAGATATGGAAATCGGCTCCTCCCTATTCGAAAGCGTCCGGCGCTGCGCTTAAGAAAACGCTATTCCACTTTCGCGGCCGTACGCGGGTGCGCGCGTGTGTGTGTGTGTGTGTGACGAATGATTCGCGTGCGAATCTTTACGATTTAACGATTTACTCAAAACGCGAGGATCGGCAGTCGAAAGTTCCCAGCGGAGGATCTTTCGCGGAGTTAGAAAGGCCGACGGGAGAGCTTAGGCGCGATTAGCGGCGCGTCTCAGTGGAATCGAACTGGGTCCGTCACGTCGTCGCCTCCGATTTGGAGTTTCGTTGATTGCTGTTGTTATTCATTTATTTACACGGAGAGAGAGAGAGAGAGAGAGAGCAACATTCCGACGTAGTCCGAGTAGAAAATTTTTAAGGCCATCCTTGTGAAGGATAAGTCCCCGATAAGGCTGAAAATAGGGATGCCTCGTTATTGCCACATCAGGCCCCGAGATGGATCTTTTGGGGATACTTTAGATTTTACGAAGTAAGGCTTTGAGGAGGAAAACTGACGAGGTCCTTGGAGGAACTTTTTTTAGGGATGGCTTAGACATTGCGAAATTACGCTTTAACATGAAAATCTGATACAGGTCCTTAGAAAGATGTTTTAAGAAAGGATGCTTTAGATGTACAAAATTAAATTTTGTTATAGAAAATTGATGAGATCTGAAGCGTGTAATAAAACTTATCATAGTTTAATATTTAGTTTTAGTAGGTACGCTCTATCTGGTTCTTTTGAAGATTTTTTTAATTATATTGCAGTTAGAAACAAATTTTATTAGTTTTATTAGTTGCCATATTCATCAGTCTCTTCCAAGGATTTTTCTAGTATTGTCTTCATTTTGAAATGCAGCAAACTTTAATAAAAACAGTAGTAGGATTTTTACGTGTGAGGAATGCTATATTTTATCGTAAAGTATGCTATATTTTTAAAATAAAAAATTGTTGTTGTATACATAACAAGGTTATCAAGAAATAAGGAAATTACAGTCTAAATTTCTTGGAATGAAAAGAACGAATATTTTTACCCCAGCAATAATAAAAATATTTCCTTATAAGATTCTATTAATATCGCATTATAAGGAACTGTTGAACCATTTGTTACACATTTTGCAGAGTTCTTGTCTTTCTATCCCTACTAGGGCCCGATTAATGTTGGAGAAAAATAACCAGACCCTTACCAGAGCCCTATTAATTTTTCTACTCGGGCACTTTTTGATATACACGAGAGTGACGAAATGAGACTTGATTGCTGCAAAAGCTATCATAATGAAGCGAGAGAGTATACGACTTGTAACTATTTTTATACAAATTGATTGAGTGTCGATGAACACACACACACACAGGCAAAAGCGTCTGGTTGGACGAGCCACTTTTCTGCTGAGACAAAAACGATTCAGAAATTCCGGTCGAAAGTATGAGAATTCCGTGC